GTTTTCTCACACTCTACAGGTTGCTGGTCCTATGAGTTTGCCTGTGCCACTGGTGGGCAGTGTGTGCCCCAAACTTGGCATTGTGATGGCGAGTCCGACTGTTTGGATGGTAGTGATGAGCAGCAGTGCCCTTCACTCTGCGGTCCTGGCCAAGTGCTCTGCCTGAGCGGCGACCAATGCGTGCGTTACCAGCAACTGTGTGACGGCAACGCAGACTGCCGTGACGCATCAGATGAGAGCATAGACAACTGCGGTAAGTCAAACATGAGACAAATGTCATCTGATTGTAAAGGTTGACTTGAGGAAAGGGCGACTTTGATCACTGTGTTTGTCTTCTAGGCTCAGTCCGGATCCCCCCATGTCCCGGCAGCTTCTCATGTGACAATCGCACCTGCGTGAACATGTCAAGAGTGTGCAACGGTATCCCTGACTGTCCGCGGGGTGATGACGAGCTCCTGTGTGGTGAGTTGTTCTAAGATACTCTTAGCACGGTCCGAGGCCGACGGTAGAAAACATCAACCTGTAAAATGTCTGATGTCCAGGTAAATACGTCTCACCAGCGCCCCCTGGCGATAGGAATACCACCGTCTCCTGTCCCGAATTCACCTGTCTGGATGGATCTTGTATCAATTTCAACATGGTAGGTTCATGTCTGCCCCCTGACCCCTCACTCCATTTATTCAAAGAGAAGACAGCAGGATTTATGTCAACATGTTGTCCAACTCCTTATTGACTTCCGATCCAGATGTGCAATGGTGTGGCAGACTGCCCAGACTCCTCACTGGCACCGCACGGGGGTCCGACTGATGAGCAGGGTTGCCGAAGTTGGGGCTCCTGGGGTTCTTGGACCCCCTGCAGCACCACCTGTGGTACAGGCTCCATGAGCCGGCGCAGATCTTGTCCCGCGGGAGACATATTGCACCACTGTCGGGGTCAGGAGGTCCAGAAGCAGCAGTGCTTCAACACCACTTGCCCTGGTATGAATGTGGAGTTAGTTTTGTGAGTTGTGAAAGCCGAATGATTCTGGCAATGAAAATGTTCCGTCTTAACCAGTGGATGGTCGCTGGCTTCCATGGGTGAGCTGGTCAAACTGTTCCAGCGAGTGTGGAGGAGTGCAGATCCGACACAGAGACTGCATCCTGCCTCAAAATGGAGGACGAGATTGCTTCCAGCTCCCAGGACCATCCAACCTAAGCTTGGAAATTAGTAAGAGATCAAATTAAGTTCACCAAGATTTGAGCGCATCTTCATCCTGACATTCTACCCGCAAGCCCAACTTTCATCATGTATGGAGCTTCGCGATAGAGCAATTACTGAGCCTCACATCATCTGCTTGCTTCTACATCAGGGCCTTGTTCGGAGGATGCCTGTTCCAGCAGCAGCTGTCCGACAGGCCTGGTGAGACACAACTGTTCCCCCTGCCCTGTGTCTTGCGCTCACATCAGCAGTGGGACTACCTGCGATCCCACAGCACCCTGCTTCTCAGGTCGCCCATAATAGGCACACTGGATCTCTTTTTTATTTTTTTTATTGAATCTTACAGGTTGTATTTTTTTTCCAGGCTGCTGGTGTCCAGAGGGGCGGGTAATGAGCCACACACAGCAATGTGTGTTGCCAGAGGAGTGTGTGTGTGAGCTGGCAGGTGTGCGCTACAGGCCAGGACAGCAGATGAAGGTGGACTGTGAGATTTGTGTTTGTGAGAGAGGAAGACCTCGACGATGCCAACCCAACCCGGACTGCTCTGGTTGGTCTTAAAATCATTTGTTTTGTTTTCTTTCCTATTCCATAACAACAAACCAACTCATCATTTTGACTTGGCCCCCTCTGTTTTTTATTTTATTTTAATGCAATCCCCCTTTAGTACATTGAGCTTGGTCGTCATGGTCAGAGTGGGGCCAGTGTTTGGGGCCATGTGGTGTGCAGAGTGTCCAGTGGTCATTCCGGAGTCCAAACAACCCACCCAACCATGGAGATGCGAAAACCTGCAGAGGCATCTATCGAAAAGCGCGTCGGTCTGTTGCCTCGTCATACCTGCTTAATTTTAGAGCAAACATTTGCAAGTACATTGATTTTGCATTGTAGATGAACATCAGAGTCCTCAATTCTTGAACTTGCCTTTCTCGCATGCACTTTCTTCATCCGCGTGTCCACAGATGTCAGACTGACCCCTGTGATGAGTGCGAGTACCAAGGTCAGTCCCACACAGTTGGGGACAGGTGGAGGTCCGACCATTGCCACTTGTGTCATTGTTTGCCCAACCTCTCGGTGCAGTGCTCTCCCTACTGCCCGTATGCTGTTACCGGATGCCCACAGGTAATAGACAAATCTATTACCTTAATTCAACATATACCATAATAAAAGACTTAAAATATACTTGCGTCATTTTATTGGAATTTCTCTGTTTATCCATGCTATTTTTTTTCCTCCCAATTATAGTAACTGAGTCATTTATGTACTTCTCAATTTATGCAGGGCCAGAGTCTAGTTCCCGGAGAGGGTGACACATGTTGTTACTGTCAAGGTAAATTTTTATTATTCTGTTCCTATTTATCCTGAAATTTTAACCGAAAGCTCATCTTGCCACTTTGTCTTTTTGCGAATCTTGTATGTTTTGTTGTTGCTGCCTTTTCCTCATTGATCTTGTGTTATATTCAATGTTCTGCACAGCGAGCAATAAAAGTTCCGCAGTGACACTCAGCCCCTCCCCTGTGACTTCCGAGCCAGGAAAGGACATCGCTCCCTTGGTGCCCACCTACCCACTCCCCCCTGGCGGTCAGTGACTTATGATTGCATCATCAGGCAGTTTCACGAGAATGTTTATGGCACCATCCCGTTGTAATAGGTGTAGTGCAATGATATTTTTCAATCTTCTTCTACAGAGGAGTGCTGGTTTCCTTTGGGCGTTCAGTTTCTACCGGCTTCCAGTTTCCATGCCTCATCTCAACAAACCGGTCATCCCCCTGAGGCAGCTCGCCTTCATGGCTGGGACCCCCACACAGACCTTCAGGTACAATAGATCAGGAATATTATTCATATGCTCTTTTTTTTAATGATTTGGTTCAGGTTATGTTTTATGAGTTATTCTGACAACTCACCCTGTTGCACACAATTACTATGATGTACTTGTATGAATGCAAGATAGATAATGAGCAGCAGTCTTGTCCTGCAGAATATAGGGGCACGTGTTTCTGTTCTTTCTGTATAATGCCGTTCTTTTTGCCATGCTTCATATGCAGGGCTGGAGTCCAGAACCAGAAGAATATAAGGATCTACCACAGCGCAGCCGCGAGGGGCACAGTAGCAACGCACAAAGCCCCTACATACAGATTGACCTACTGAAAGAATACAACATCACGGGTACACTTTTAGACCTGGCCATGCTCGTTTCACAATGTAACACTGAATTTGTGAAGCGAAACCTTCTGTTCCTTTCTCCAGGGGTACTTACCCAAGGGGGTGGTGTGTTTGACACATACGTTTCCAGCTTATATCTGCAGTTTAGCCGAGATGCAAAACTGTGGTACATCTACAAAGAGCTTGTGACTGACGCGCAGCCCAGAGCTAAGGTCTGGTCATCACATTGTTGTTGGGTTGATATGTTCAAAGTCATTTGCCCAATTCTTGCTGCAGGTTTTTCATGGTAATCACAATGAGGGAGGGGTTGCTGAGATCAAATTGGACCGGATGGTGTCGGCTCAGTTTGTCCGCCTGCTACCACATGATTTCCATAATGGCATCTATCTTCGTCTTGAAATTATGGGATGTGAACATGGTTAGTTGATGCTGTCTATATCCAGTATATATTGCGTGCTCCGTATTCAATGAAAAACTCTTTGTTCTTGTCTGGTTCAGGGTATCGCTGGTCAACCGTACCCACACCGACTTGGACCGTCTCGCCAATGGGTGGCTGCAGAGAAAAAGAACTCCAGTGCAAAAATGGACGCTGTGTACCAGCCGGCCCGTCAGGAGTTATCTGCGATGGGGTCGATGATTGTGGTGACGGCTCGGATGAGATGTACTGTGGTGAGATTTTTATCTAATTTGTTCATTTGTTTTTTTATATCACTTTGACATATGCGCACTGGCCTTATTATTCCAGGCACACAGACCTACCCGACAAGTCCTCGGAGCTGTCTGGGTGGTCAGTACTTATGCCTTCCACCAGGGGGCTGTATCGACACAGGAAAACGTTGCGATGGGATTCCTCACTGTCCCAGAGGAGATGATGAAAGTGAATGTCACCTGCCTGAGAACGTCACGGCGCAGTCTGACAGGTGAGGTCATTAAATTGCAACAAAATGTTGTAATTCATATTTTCTTGAGTTCAGCCCCTTCTGATATGCAATACAAATGCATTTACACATATCCTCAGACCATACACACCCACCGCTGCCCCGATCAGAACCCCTTCCAGGATCCCTGCAATATCACCAACAGTAAGTAGATTTATCAAAGTTTCTGTTGCTTTTCGTGTTCTCTGACACTGCCTCTCGGTCCTTTGCTGGATATTTTCAAAGGTATATACAGTATAATTAGGAGTTTGAATGTGTCAATGTGAACTTTATACACTTTTTAATACATTTACAGGATGGTGGCACTGGATATCGTGGTAAGTTCTTGTGCAACTTAGGCTAGAAATTAGTTGGAGAATACTGTAATTGTCAAACCATGTCCGCTGCCCCCTTGTGTTTTAATGTATTACACATGCTGTATGGACATATCCTTGTAGGCATTTGCTCCTCTGCACTCGGACTGGAGGATGGAAGCATTCGTTATGGTCAGCTGACCTCATCCTCCTATCGTGAAAACAACCCCGCTGATGCCGGTCGATTGAATATCATTCCCAATGTGTGAGTGAAAATTTTGGCTAGTTACTTCAATGTGCTGCAAAAATACCCTTACCAGCGTTTTTTTTTTTTTTTAAATCATGAATGAAAAGATACACTGAAACATTTGTCCATGGTGTTTGCAGTCAAGTTATGGAGCCTGGATGGAGCCCCTTGCCTACAGACCTCCAACCGTACTTCCAGGTCGATTTCCTAGAGCCCACGTGGGTTTCAGGGGTTGTGATGCAAGGCAGTGAGCGCATGTGGGGTTACCTCACGAAATACAGATTAGCCTTTGCCCTGCATGGCAGCCTCTTCACCAACTATACACAGGATGGCAAGCCCGGTAGTCCTGCTAAGGTACTGACATCAAGATGGCACAAGATCTCACCAAAACAACATTTTTCTATGAAGTAGGGTTTGCAGTGGACAATAAGTTATTTAAAACATCCACAAATTGAAAAAGAACAGAAAAGTGAATTTTTCGGAGCACTTGTAATAACTTCTATTTCCATACACACAAATGCAATGGGAATCCTGCATAGTAACTCAAAGTCAAAACATTAAGGAACATTCATCTTCATTATTTTTGAACAGCCTAATATTACTTTGTCTTCACTTTTTGTGCAGGAATGACTTTTGTGTTGGATGAATAGAACTAACTGGCATACCGGTGTAGATTGTGATTAATATACAATAAAGATTTTTTGATGTTTATGGTCTTTTTATTGTTATGGTGTAGGTGTTCGAAGTACGGATGGTGGGTCGGACCCCTGTGACCCGCTGGCTCGGTAGGCTTGTCCGGGCTCGCTACCTGCGCATCATTCCCGTGGAGTTCAGACACACATTCAACCTACGTGTTGAGATCCTCGGCTGCAGAGGAGGTGATGAGTTTCATTTTCTTCTTCTCCGTTGAAAAAGAGTTTTTCAAATTGAGCTGTTGCAAGGTGTGACATTTTTTTTTTTTTTTGTTTGTATTGCAGATGAGCTAGTGACGCCCAGCAGTGTTACCTCTCCCTCTGGTGGTAGGAAAATTACACTGAAACACTGTCAACCAGGCCAGTTCGCCTGCCAGCAGAGTGAGCAATGTGTTCCCATTGCTGTGGTTTGTGATGGGCGACTGGACTGCAAGGATCATACAGATGAAATGAATTGTGGTGAGAAAACTCATGGATACTCCATTATACGCTACTCATAAGTGAGTATATTTCTGGAAGTAGCTGAACAGCACAATCATCTTCTTTCTACACAGGCATTCCAGGTTTACAGAACCAAACTAGTCCCACCGGTCGACCAGGCTTCCATGGTGACATGACAACAGGTGCGCCAGGCCTCCAAACCACCAAGCCACGAGGTGGTCTGCCCGGTGTGGCTACAGCTGGAGTCACAGGACAACCTGGACTTTGGAAAGCCACCACTACGCATATTGGTATGAATGGCTGAAACAAACGTGTTTGTATGAACATGACGCTGAGCGTGCTGTAGAGCTGGTTGTTAATTATTCATATACATACATGCTCTTTAAAAACACGATCAGATCAAGATTTATGAAAATAATACAGTATAGATTTTTTTCTTCCCCACTAGAAGTGACTACTGGCCAGCCTGGACTGCACTTCACTCCATCGCACCAGCCTGGAGTACCTGGCCTACAAACCACAAAGCGTGAGTGACACCAAACAATGTTGCTCGCTCGTTCTGGTTCCATGATTCAACGTGGCTTTGACTGAACAGGCACTCTATTTTACAGCTCAGTGGATCACCACACCCCCCCATGATGGGGGCTCGCCCAGAGTGCTTTGCGTGGAAGGCCAGTTTGCATGCCGCTCATTTGGCTGTGTCGACTCGGCACGGGTGTGTGACGGCAGGTGGGACTGTTTGGACGGGTCCGATGAAGAGCGCTGTGGTACACATGAGTAACCCAGAAAAAAAAAATGCTACCAAATACATTTTCGAAGTGAAAATTTGATAAATGGCATTCTTTTCACCCCACTGACTAATTAGGTTCCTTAGTAAGTCCGGTGCCTAGCCAGCGCCCGCCCGTGCCGAGCCCCTGCTCACCCAAGCAGTTCTCCTGTAATAGCGGCGAATGCGTTCACCTGGACCGCAAATGTGATCTGCAGAAGGACTGTGTGGACGGTTCCGATGAAAAAGACTGCAGTATGAAAAATACATTCTGTTCATATCACATTCACGATGAAGAAGTGACACGGAAGTGACACATGATATGTTTTCATCCTCCAGTTGAGTGCATCATGTCCCAGTGGACCTCATGGAGTTTGTGCAGCGTGTCCTGCGGTGTGGGCTCGCTCTTTCGACAGAGAGACGTTGTGAGGGAAGCGCTACCTGGAGGATCCTGCAGTGGGGCCCAATTTGACAGTCGCGCCTGCTTCCCACGACCGTGCCCAGGTTTTTAACAGTGCTCAATAGTGTGCCGGGGCTTAGGCCTCACATACAGTCACTGGTCTATTTTCACCTCTTGTAGTCGATGGTCATTGGTCAGAGTGGACAGAATGGTCCGAGTGTGACGTTGAGTGTGGAGGGGGCGTCAGGCAAAGGAGGAGAACCTGTTCTGCGCCTGCCCCGAAAAATGACGGCAGGGACTGCGAGGGCATGAGCCAGCAGAGTCAGAGCTGCAACAGTCAACCCTGCACCAAAGACACGGGAACACAGACGGGTGACTAATTCTCCAACAAACAATATTTTCCACATCATATTTGACCCCAACCTACGAAAACAGGTTTTAGATTTATCAGTGTACTACGCATTCAAATACACAGGTTCCGGCAGAAACCTGCACCTGTGACGAGTCTGAGCTGAAATCTCATTCTGATTATTTGTTAAAAAATATTTCTCCAGGTTGTGTCAATGGTATGGTGCTCGTGTCCGAGGCAGACTGTCTGAGCGGGAGATTCGAGCCTTGTCCTCCAATATGCTCACATCTTAGCTTCACCAACAACTGCACTGAAGAATGCAAACCAGGTTGGTCCGCAAACACACCATGCACTTCCTTGAGTGGTTCATTCAATGCCCAGATGTGTTGTACTTGACGTGGGCGTTACGTCGTCCACATGAGGGTCGTGGGTACTGTGGTTATCGTCATTTGAGTCTTGCTAAAAATGTGCAAGCGCAATGTACCAGTAACTCGAGGTGAGGGTTTCGGTGCTGACTCAATGCCAGTGTTGATCTCCCCATCAAATCCGAAATGAAATACAGATTTAGGTATAGACTTATCCCCCCCCCCCACCCCA